GTCGGTCACTGGCTCCTCATTGCTATGTCTGTCTGCATGCATTGCAATCGCATCAAATGCGCAATGTTACTAATAGTTGTTGCCTAAATTAAGGCGCACTATGTACCACATGCGCCAATGAGAACATCCGTAGCCACATCCGTGGCCACATCCGCAGCAAGCAAGCAATTTAGCGTTGACTTTACAGCTTTACAGATCACGTAAAATACTGCAGGTGGACACTTGTGGGTTCGAGCATAAGTAGTATATATATACATACATACATATTTATATACATATGTACATACATATTTGCAGATAGTAATACGAGTAGCATTGCATCGAAATGAATTTTCAAGTGTAATTGCGTGGGCGGTTGAGTCGAGTGCGCAATTACCTTCAGTGAAGATGTGAAATTGCTGTCAGCAGCGCAGTGTTGAAAGGTAATGCCTTATAGTGCAGATGGGGTTGGCAATGGTAAAGTTAAGTGGTTGGGTAATTTTGTTGAATTGTCACATGGTTGACTACGTCGGACAGGTCGTTTTTGTTAAACTTGATGCTTGAGTTGATGATGGCCCATGTGGTTACGGATGCCTGCTTCAATTTCAAAGGCGAAAAAAAAAATCTTTTCAGGGTTCAGGTGAATTAAACAACTACATAAACATCCACATAGTAATCTGCACTTAAATGCTTATTGAAACATGCCAAGACAGCTCTTCATGGTGTGGTGTTACATATAGAAAAGGCTCTACATTAACAATGTCTCTACAAAGGCTTTCTTAGAGGGTCTTGATTCAATCGGCATTTGCCATTCACTCACCGCGGCAGGCGAACAGAGGCACCACAAAAAGTGGCGTTCTCTCTCCATTGATGTGAACATTTTTCTCGTAATAAGATTCTACACGATTTGAGGGGTAGGACAGGTCGTTGGGAATGGAGGGTGGGATTGGAGGTGAACCTAGATAAGAGGGACTTTAAAAAAGTAAAAGATTCCGACCTGTCCTCAATCTACATAAACTGGGAAATATTACACTACTCCTAAAACATCTACGAAATATGTATATTGGAGTCATTATGAACAGTAAGCTGACGTGGAGGTTGAATGTGAAAGAAGCGGGAAATCTCTCGATAAGACATAGAGCTTATCCGCCCGCCGCACTCAATGAAGTTATGTGTTTTTGTTTTTTTTTTTTGTTTGGTGGACGGCATTACAAAGGAAGAGTATGTCAAGTACCTTAAAGGTGTACAGAGAGTTTAAGGTCTATGTATTATAGGAGCACTTTAAATCTGTATCGAGTAAGATTAGTTGCAAAAAACTTAGAAGAAAAGTCGGCGCTAGAATTTAAAGTTCCGGACACTTACTATTGAAATATTTTTCTGGCCGAAATTTACGCCCGAATCAATTAGTCTCTGCTAACTCTGACACCCAGGCGGTCATTAAAGCATTTGCAGCTGTGATGATAGACTCACTTTGTTTGCGACAATGCGCAGATCGAGCAGATGAACTTTGTGTCAGTAAATAGGTCACTTATATTCGGGGTGCCAGAACACAAGGTAATAGGGTGAGACGAATGAGCAGATGTGTTGGCTAAATCAGGAGTATTATTAGCACCGGGCGACATGGAACAAATGTGCCATTATCTCAACTATTTAAGAACAGAACTAGATTTGGTAACAGCATAAAATAGGAAAAGGGAACAGCAATAAACAGGTCCCGGCTCAACTACCCTAGACCAGAGAATTGGCAATTTGTTAAAGTTCGCAAAAAAAAAATCGTCTAAAATCATGCATCCATATCCTTGGCAACACAAGGGACCAGCGACTTTTACATTTCGGAAGTTGGTTCAGTTTGGTATCGAACAATAAAAATACTAAAATAAATTAAATTCATATATTAGTCATGTAGACCATATTCAATCAGTAAAAGTACCGCCGGTACTTCCGGATTTTGGAAAACTCAGGAAATTCGGCTACAATAGACACTTCAGCGACAATCAAGACACATCCATAGGTAACGACTATTGCATGCTCGTTATTTCTTTTTAAAAGAAATGCAAAATTGTAATAACAGCAACTGTGCGCAAGCATAACAGATCTCACCGTTTGCCCAATGCCTTAAACGCTTATACGAGTTATGTGTAACTTGAAGATAGAGTCGATTAAGGAATTTTCTCAGCTGAATTGAGGCTAAAAACATATTTTCAGTTTTACGCCCACTGTAGTGCATATCAAGCGAAAGTGTTGGCCATGCAGAAGGCATCACAGATACTCGCTCAAAGAGCTTCAGAGAGGAGAGGAGTGTTCATGCAGCAAAGGTTTTGCGTAGAAGCCCTAAAAGTCTGTAATAAATGGCCAAGCATTATACATACATATGTACATAGAATTCAATTTATATCGGTGCTTGAAGACTCTAAATAATTTTCCTGCCCCGTCGGACCAATTAACCAACACCAAAAACCTTTTATGGCATTGACAGACTTTAAGCCATAGAAAAGTACGCGTGATAGGCAAACTATTATTTCAAGGCTTTGCAGAGATTTAATAGGTTCATCGGGTGTAAAATGCAGGGCTGCAATTCAGTTTGAACCGAACTGCATTTTTTTTGGTTGATGGCAACTCTGCGAGTTGTAATTTCGCCCATATAACGAATGATTGAAATGTTCTTATATGGTAGAAAATGCTTAACAACGCCAGCAAACAAAAAAATTTAAAATTTATGCGAATTTTAAGATAATTCAAACATTACAAACAATACATTAAAATTGTACGACTGCATATTCGGGCTTTTTAGTTCTCATTTAAAAATTTGATACTTTGATGCAATTTTTTTGCATATCGCTACCTAAAGATGAAAATGTGTAAAGTCCACTTTTTTCGAAATTTAGTGTGCGAAGCAGAATGACAGATTATGCGAAATCACCTCGAGTTTTCGTCTCTCCAAACCAATTTCAAAAAACGGACTTGGCACCTTTTTACCTATAGGTAACGATATCATATGTTTAACCATTTCAAATATTGACCACACACCTACTTTAATTTTATTAAATATTGCGCAGTATATCCCACCCAGCAAAGAAACGTACGTTTTGCCGACCGCCGCGATAGTGCGACTGTGGTAGATATCCGAATATTCGGATAACAAAATTAACGGATATGAACCGCATATCCGGACAGCACAACTAACGGATATTAACCGTATTTGAGCTTGGTGTAAAATGCGGAGGTGTAAAATGCGGATATCCGGTTCATATCCAGATAACAAAATAGAACGGATATTAACCGGATATCCGGATTTTATAAATATACACGAATATCCGAACGGATATCGGATATGATATAATAGGGTAAAATTTCATTCTACCGAGCTCAAATATTCTTCACATAAAAAATATCAAAAGATCTAAAACCCCAGAACTAAAGCCAATTCAGTCCTTTGAAAATTTTCGAGGTTCCAGTAGTAATAATATTAATGTATGTAAATAACTAGCATAAGAAACATGTGTGTGTATGTAAAAATCTATGGTGTAAATGTTTTATAAATTTTGACCTACCGATCCTATATAGGCTCATTCAATATTTGTTGCTCTTCGTTACATTGATTGTTGTATTGCAGAGCCATTTTTTGGTTTTAATTTAATTACCAATTAAGATTTGATTATATCAAATTTATCTGCATGATAGCATAATAATTTTGCGGCTCACATATTATTTAATATTACTCGTATACATACACACACACCTACGTATGTATGTAGGTATACACATATTGACATTAGCAAATTGGTGTACATAGATTCGGAGAAATTAATTGAATTCGAAGTTTACCAAGAACCACAATTATTTGAAATTGTTATGAAATTTAATTGGTAAAAATATGATGAACTAATTAGTACCTCCCTATTCGTGTGGTTGAGTAATCAATTAATAATGGCAAATCGTTTTGAAGATTGTCGCATTATAAAAAATCAATTAAATGCTTAAATTGTTGCAGTAGGATTGGCTAATAAAGAACGTGAAACAAATTTTTATTAAATCAATGCGCGATAATGTGTACGGACTTACAAAGCTCCGGTATTAATGAAGATTATAATTAAACATACTTCGAAAATTTAGAGAATTTTTCTTAGAATAAATTCTTGTTAATACGGCTATTATGAGCGGCAATGATTTTTATTTTTTAAGTCTTTGAAGTTTTTTTAAAAAGCTCAAAGCTTCTTAATAGACAGGGGAAACTGGCATTGAATGTTTGAAGCCACTGTGAAGGCGGAATGAAAATACAAATAGAAAGACACAAGGACAAAAACAAAGACTGAATAAAAAAGATGGACAGGGAAATAACAAAGACACAGACATTCCCACTCCTAGACAAAGCTAAGGAAAAACATAACGATGGAAATAAAGATGAAGTTGAATATGAAAATGACGATGAAGTTAAGGATAAAGATAGCGCTGGCAGTGAAGATGAAGATGAATTTGAAGATTAAGATGAAGATGAAAATGAAGAACAAGATGAAGATAAAGATGAAGGTGTTGAAGAAGATGAAGATGAATATTAAGATGAAGTTGAGGATGAAGATTAAAATAAAGATGAAAATGACGATGAAGATAAAGATAAACTTGCGGGTGAAGATGAAATTGAAGATGAAGATGACCTCAAAAGAGCAGAACCTATTTTCTAACGCGTTAATTCTATGGGAATACCTCTTAGAATTATGGTGGAGAGGGAAGTTTCATAGTATTTCTTACCATTTTTAGCATCATTTCAATATCTATAATAACTCAACTGCCATTGAGAATGTAATCAAGTTTTTCGCCATATTTAATCTAAGATCAAGGTACCACTAAAATTTATCGACGTTTTACATTTTCAACCATATTTTTATCATTAAGGTTTTTCTTTGCTCGCGTGCGTTAAATCACTCGAGTACACATGTGTAATTGAAATTTTATCATTACGTACATATGTATGTATGCACTTTACATACGTTTTAATTTTCCTCCTTTTTGCCTGTTTCTTACAGATAAATAAAAACTCGCAAGTACAATCGAAGAGCATCAACGGCGAACGCAAGCGCTGGATCCACGATCCCACAAGTGAGTATACATACATACATATGTATGTACCAAACGTATATGTATTTATATAATTTTTAAGTCATAAAAATGTGCGCATGTGTATAAAAAGGTTATATAAATCTGTATGTTTACTACCCTGCAGCAAAATTTAAAAACATTTTGGCAAAGCATTAGTTCCACACTACAAATTTCAGAACCGCCTAGAAACTATTGCAAGACGGATGCAAAAGGAGTAGGTTGAAAATTGCGTTTTGGTAGTGCATCCTCAAACATTGTTGTTGGTAAATTTAAATTGTTGCACAGTGCTTAGAAATTTAAGAAATAAGTAATTAGATGAAAACGAAATGAAATTAAATATGAGCCGGAGGAGGGTCTTTAAATAGCAAACACGGCCCTTTACTGAAGAATTTGTTGCACTTATGTAATGCTGCCAATTAAAGTAAAAGCAAACTAAAAGGGCGGGACTCGGGCTATTATTTTAAGCTGTGCTTCAATTTTGTGTGAAATGTCAGTTAGGCTACGCGGGCTGTCAAGGTCGCATATCGATGGCTGAGTGGAAGTTCAACCTATCGAAACGCCCCATCTTAGAAAATTTTTCAACAACGCTCTATTTTAGAATTTGATTGAAAAACGCCGTATCTAAGAATTTGGATAAAAATTGCCCTATCTCAACTGCCGATTCCTAAACGCCCTATCTCAGCACATTTTTAATGTATTTTCATTTGGGATAAAATTTGTATAAACTTGTGAAGTAGGGCGTTCTTAAATCAAATTCTGAAGTAGGGTGTTCTAGAAAAGTTTTCTAAGATTGGTCGTTTTCGAACTGGTTGGCGAGATAGGTCCATCTTCCACTCAGCCATCGGAATGTGTTTTTCTCATAGAAAAATTTTTATCCCAAATCTGTCCCAGAGGTATACAGTTCAGAACGAGCTCAAAAATTCTACAAAGGAGATCAACTGTGACCTGCTAGGACTTCGCTAACATAAAAATGACAATATAAATATTTGATTTGAGAGAAATGAAGAACCAGTATGGTCTCTGTTCAAGCTAGCTCGGCGCGAGTTCAGAATAAGTTAGCTTTGCTGCAGGGTGGCGAGTGTATGTGTTGTGTGCTCTTCGTGCATTCTTTGTTTTTGGCTGCAGTAATCATATATGTTTTTTATGCGCGCACAAACGCAGCCATAAAGCCAGCAGGTGACCGCGATTTATTGCACGCGCTTTTATTTCATTCCCAACATATTAAGTGTCGGAGAGGAAGATGAGCTTGAAAAATGCATCATCCTCTGTGCTGTGTGTGTGAGCGCGTATGTGATATGTACGTAAAAAGATATGGCGGATTAAAAAAATATTAAAGAGTGTTGTTTAAACGATGTTTACTTGAATATATTATTTTAATTAAATTAACGCGAGCAACGGAGTGAGATAGTACTATAGTGTAAATATTTCATGAGTTTTTAAATTTACTTTTTTTTTTAATTTCAATGCGAAGCAATGAAAGTTGGCATTTTTTTACTTTGCCTAAGTGTCTTTGTAGAAATTTGTGGAATTTGACATTAAAAACATATTTGGCAAGGAATATACTATCAAAATATTAAAATTAAATGATTTGCCTCAGTTCGGTTCTGCGTTAATTTTCATTCATTTAACGAAACAGGTAGTTAACGTGAAAGTTGCAAAACTAGGATTTGCTAGAAATTATTATTAATTTTTTTTTTTTCAAAAGCAACCTCTAACCTCTAAAGCGACTTTGGCCGAGTCTAAAAAAGCATGCCAGTCCTTTCTCTTCTATGCCAATTGACGCCAATTGCAAAATTCAAGTGAAGCCAAGTCCTGCTCCACCTGGTGTTTCCAATGCAGAGGATGCCTCCCTCTTCCTCTGTTAAAAGCATCGCGACCCGCGTTGAATACTCTCAGAACTGTAGCGTTTCTGTCCATTTGAGCGGCATTACCTGGCCAGCGTAGCCGCCGGATTTTAATTCGCTGCCCTATGTCCATATCGTTATAAAGCTCCTACAGCTCATAGTTAAATCGTCTGCGATATTTGCTATTGTCAAAATCTTACGTAAAATTTTCATCTCGATTACTCCAAGAGCCGCCTCATCGGATGTTGTCACNCCTCTTCCTCTGTTAAAAGCATCGCGACCCGCGTTGAATACTCTCAGAACTGTAGCGTTGCTGTCCATTTGAGCGGCATTACCTGGCCAGCGTAGCCGCCGGATTTTAATACGCTGCACTATGTCCATATCGTTATAAAGCTCCTACAGCTCATAGTTAAATTGTCTGCGATATTCGCTATTGCCAAAATCTTACGCAAAATTTTCATCTCGATTACTCCAAGAGCCGCCTCATCGGATGTTGTCACTGTTAGGTTTAGTTTAGAATCATATCGTCGTTTAAAGCACAGCGTATCAGCAAAATGCAAAACCACGTATCAAGGCAATGCAAAACCGCATATGTGAGGCTGCATAAATTATTTTCTAGAGAATGAAATCACTCTTATTTCAAAATGGTTCTCTTTTTTTATTATTATTTTACCTCCCTTTTATTAGCTCGGGATGTAACTATAGTTGCGTTCGATAACAAAATTAGCCAACACCAGCCAACAATCAAAATCAAGAGAGTAAGCGAAAATCCTCTCCCAAAGAGATGAAAAAGCAAACAGTAAACGAGCAGGAAATTAGCCATTACTTGCAAAAACCGGAAGAAGAAGAGACACCAGCTGACTTTGTTTATGTTTTATTTGTAAACAAACTGAAATTCATGTTGCCTCCATAGAAGAAAAAAGGAAAGTGAACGTTCAATGTTCGCCAGGAACATTTCTAGAAGTAAAAACTAGTTGGCGCTATCATAAAGTCAGCAGTCATAGCAGGCAGCCAAAAAGCATATAAATACCAAAACTCGGAAAATGCAATTTTGTTTGTTTACAAAAATTGCAACCATATGTTTTGTGATCATATGTTTTCGTGTTGGATAATTTTTGCTGACCAAAATTTTGCCAGTACAAAATGAACGCTTCTCTTGCATCAAATCAATCTCTCAATTTTTGTGTGTTGGATAATTTTTTGTCGTTATCGAACGCCATCCAGTAAAAATTTGGAAAAACTATTACAAATTTTTGACTTGTCGAACGCACCTAATGTAATATTAATGCGCCTAAAAGATGCAGCGATTTCTATTCTCAAGTTACATACCTAATGACAGTACGAATGGAAATTATAATGGCGAGGTTTTAGTTTTTTAAACTATAATTTTTATTTATAAAGCAATTGCCTTTCTGGCTAGTATATTTCAGGACGAATGGACAAGCATTGAGCCAAGAGCCTGTGTGAGCATATCCAATTTTTGGCGGCAAATGTCAGTTACGCGGTTTTGTACTTTAAACGACGATATATTCTCATGATTGGGAGACGGTGTAGTATAGTCTGCGGACCTAAAAATGCCATTTATATGAGTTTTTGGTGAAAAGGAAAAAATTATACGGATTCTAAATCAGCGACTTTCAACACCCCCCCCAAACACCAAGTCAATTTGGTTACTTCTCAGCTTTTGGCCAGCAAATAGTAGTCGCCAGACCATAGTGCACTGTAGGGACACGTAAACTTAATTTTGGATCGTATATNCAGTCATAGCAGGCAGCCAAAAAGCATATAAATACCAAAACTCGGAAAATGCAATTTTGTTTGTTTACAAAAATTGCAACCATATGTTTTGTGATCATATGTTTTCGTGTTGGATAATTTTTGCTGACCAAAATTTTTGCCAGTACAAAATGAACGCTTTTCTTGCATCAAATCAATCTCTCAATTTTTGTGTGTTGGATAATTTTTTGTCGTTATCGAACGCCATCCAGTAAAAATTTGGAAAAACTATTACAAATTTTTGACTTGTCGAACGCACCTTATGTAATATTAATGCGCCTAAAAGATGCAGCGATTTCTATTCTCAAGTTACATACCTAATGACAGTACGAATGGAAATTATAATGGCGAGGTTTTAGTTTTTTAAACTATAATTTTTATTTATAAAGCAATTGCCTTTCTGGCTAGTATATTTCAGGACGAATGGACAAGCATTGAGCCAAGAGCCTGTGTGAGCATATCCAATTTTTGGCGGCAAATGTCAGTTACGCGGTTTTGTACTTTAAACGACGATATATTCTCATGATTGGGAGACGGTGTAGTATAGTCTGCGGACCTAAAAATGCCATTTATATGAGTTTTTGGTGAAAAGGAAAAAATTATACAATTTAGTAGCCATATTGGGTTCCCCNGAGACGGTGTAGTATAGTCTGCGGACCTAAAAATGCCATTTATATGAGTTTTTGGTGAAAAGGAAAAAATTATACAATTTAGTAGCCATATTGGGTTCCCCCATTTTCAATTTCAAAAATCTTACATCGGATTCTAAATCAGCGACTTTCAACACCCCCCCCAAACACCAAGTCAATTTGGTTACTTCTCAGCTTTTGGCCAGCAAATAGTAGTCGCCAGACCATAGTGCACTGTAGGGACACGTAAACTTAATTTTGGATCGTATATAATGGAACTATGTGTGTATATACACTTTTTTTCCAAGATGGGATAATTTTCTCAAGATATCTTCATTTCAGGCTTGCATTCCAAATGGCAAAAAAATTTAAACTTTAACATGAGAAATTTTACTCATAAACCATTACCAATATGTATCAGGGATGTGGCGAATATTTGCATTCGCATTCGTTATGCGAATGATTCGCATCATTTTACATATTCGCATTCGACATTCGCATTCGCATCAAATGATACGAATGTTTTGCGAATTCGAATGTGTACATGGACAGAGAGTCCACTCTAACATTTTTCAAGTGGCTCTAACAGCCCGATTATGTGTACTTGTGATAAATAAAAAATTTATAATTTGTAAATTTTTTATTATTTATTATTTATCAAGAATTGTAATTCTAGCACAGAAATGTTTATGTCATTTCTAGCATCCGCATTCGCATTCGCATTCACAAATATGACGTTCGAAATATCCCTAGTATGCATGAATACGGCCATGTACGATATGGCATATGAGTAACATTAATTCCTGCTCCTATTTCATACTAAAAATTATTGCACATTTTCAATTGACTATTCACCATCGATTTTTATCGTTAGTAGCAAAAGAACAGGCCTTAATAAAAATCAGAAAAATTACTAAAGACTTTTGTTTTGATTTTTTCTTTGTTAGAGTTTAAATTTCTTTTATAAATATCTTGAGAAAATGACCTAATCTGGAAAAACGGTAAACATATCCATAATCTACGACGGTGTTTTTTGTATAATTTCGAAACTTGAGATTTTCGGTTCTCTTAGTTCTAAATCAATTAAACTCGCCTTAAGTTAAACAAAAAGAAACAAAATTCAGCGAGGTTTCAGGTACTTTTTCTAGGCGTGGAGGATAACGCTGCCGTGATTAGTCACTAGCCCGTCCTTTGAGCATTAGTGAATTAGTGAACATAATTAGTGAGCAACTTATTCAGTGATTTCCATCAGTTTATGATGTCTTTCTTCAGCTATTGAACTTATATTCCCAATGCACCAAGTGAGGTTTGAGATACTTTTTCTCGTCTTAAAGAGTTTTACAGGCTTAGAGGTCATATGCAGTTATTTCAATTGGCTGACATATATTTTTATGATGGCCGACAAATATATATATTTCAGTGTTTGGTCCAGTTGACTTTGTGGAGTCAAGCATATTTTTGTTTGGTTGTCAATTAGTAGTGGAAAGCAAGCACCTCAACCCAAGCTAGACCCAAACATTTTGTTTTTCTAAAGTTCGTACTAAAATATTTGGGTCGCGATGAACATAAATCGATTAATCATTCCCGATCTACGTTACTATAAACGCAGATTGAATTAATGCAATCCTGGCTATACTATTTTTTCAAGTGCATTTAGCTTTCATTTCGATGCTGATAGTTGCAGGGTGTGCCACCATTTGACTAACGCCATCAGATATTGTACATATCTAACGAATTTGTTTGTCCCCAATATCAACTGAAATACATACAGTGCCGAACGGAGGTATTGGCACAGCGAATTTTTCGCAATATATGCAAAGTTTTTTATTCTACTTTATTTTCGATAATTTTTTATAAAAATTTTGTTCATTCTACACCAGAAAACATAATAATAAAATCTCTAAACTTTGTGCAAAACTCAGGAAAATTCATTAAATTTGCACACTAATTTGCAACTTTTTATTCAGATTTTTTAGAAAAATTCTATGTATGCAGTTTTATAGCGCATTCAAATTTAGTACAAAGTGCAAGTTTGAAGTCGCTAGAAAATCGCATTGATTTTTGTTTCGGCACTGTATGTACATACATATATGCACATGTACACACATTTGCAATTTCATTTTCCGTACAATAAAGTTCAAAACCATTCGCACAATAATGGCACTACAGCATTTTTTACTGGTTGGCGTTGGCCTGCAGGGCAAAATCGTGGAGAAATTGTTGTGTGTACCTGTTGTTGCGTTTACTGTTTCATCAATGACTTTGTGTAAATATGTATATATTTCCATATGTATCTATGAAATTGTGTGCAGTCGAGAGGCTGCCTATTGTGTAAAACTAAGTACATACATACATACGTACGGTACATAAAAAAAAAGAGCGCACCGTTAAAGGCGCTTTGCAGCGTTGAAAAAAGGATTAATTTGTTTGCGATAAAAAATTAAATTACTAAAGTTATTTGTAGTGAGTCACGTAAAAGGTAAGTTAAAAATTTGCAATTGTCGAAAAGAGAAGACAGACTGCAATAAAAAATGCTCGTTTCGTTGATTAAACTCCATTTGGATGCAACTTACTTTGTATGTATGAATGTATTTGCATGTACGAGAATGTGTAGGCGTATGGCGTATTTAGCCTAAGTGTGCTTAAATGTAATTAAAACATAATTGCTTAATCCCTGAGACTATTATTTACTTATTAATTACTTTTTCTGTTACCATAACTCTTATTTACCGCCAGGTGACCTTTGTCGGCCGTTAAATTGCAAAAAACGTGAAATTTGCCTGTTGGAGGATGAGTACAGCGCAGTGTGCGTTTCGAAGCGTGACTTACACAAGAATCGGTGAGTTTATTTAGTACAAAAATTAAGTAAAAATAAATACACAAAATTACAAAGAACAAATACAGAAGGTGTAACGGTAAAATCGCATTTACTTACATGGATATACATGCGTAATTTATGCGGTTATTTTTTTTTGTATTCAGTTTACTAGCCAGGTGTGTACAACCACAAATTTATTCTTATTTTTAATTTATTGAAAAATTCTATAAACCATCGGGTTTTTAACCGATTTTTCTTTCTAAACTATCGTTGAAAAAATGCTTTCCTTTTAGTTTTTGTATGTGAAAAATGACTTCTTCCATACCAAGCATTATTTCTTTATTTTTTTTTAATAAAAACAAAAACATTGAAGCTAAGCATTCGGTATTTATTATTTTGAGCAAGAAATATCGATAAGTTTTTCTCAATACGCGAAGAGATTATTTGTCCAGGACATAAGGTCTGCACTGTTCGCTCGATTGTCAATAACGGGATGTCAAATAAAAGCGTTATTTTTTCGAAAAGAGTTGCCACTTTTTGAACAATTAAATTCCAATCATTTAATACTCAGTGCCATCATAACCGCACCGTTCAGTCGATTGTCCAAACTGAGGTGTCAAATTAAAAGGTGTCAATAATAAGGTTTTACTTTTTTGGAAAGAGTTGCCACCTTTAAAAAAATTCAAATAAAAAAAAATCTATTATTACAAAATAGGTATCAATCGGAACTTGCTCTAAAAAGTTTTATTTCTTATCTTGACCATAGGAGATTGCCACATGTTTAAAAAATCAAATTCATTTTAAATTAAGGGGGTTAGGTAAGAGAAATATGTATCACCATATGGGTGCCAATCGAAAGGGGTTTCAGAGGGAGTCGGATAAGACCTTTTCCTGAGCCTGTCTTTAGACGAGAATGAAGAAAACATATAATGGATTTAGACTGAGTTCAGTAAGCTGCTAAAACGAAAACCAAAAAAAAAAACAGTGACGTTCGATTTTATTTTTATTTTTTTAGCAATTTTCTGCAGTGGAAAAATATTTGGAATTACTAGGTTCTGACACATAAGTAAACTAGGTGAAAACCCGATTTATTCGATTGTAAAAAAAGTGGTTTACTCAATATTCGAAAAATCAAAATTTCCAAAAAAAACAGCGTAGAAATAAAAAAAAAGTGATTGAAATCGGTTTGGAAAACCCGACTCAATCAACCTAATTGATGCATACATATGTATGTATGTAGATTAGCTTGCATTACTCCCCATACAAAAAAAAACATCGGTACTGTTTTTCTATTGGAATTATAAAATCTATTATATTTTAAGACGCCCCCCAAANAAACCCGACTCAATCAACCTAATTGATGCATACATATGTATGTATGTAGATTAGCTTGCATTACTCCCCATACAAAAAAAAACATCGGTACTGTTTTTCTATTGGAATTATAAAATCTATTATATTTTAAGACGCCCCCCAAAATATTTCGGAAAAATAATAAGATTTAAGCGAGGCTGGACCGATTTGAAAATACCTCCAAAAATGGAGATTTTTATGAATAACAATAGCTTCTTGAAGATAATATTTGAAAAAGTCCCCTCAAATGACAAAACGGTTTAAGTTTAAAAAATTTTTGAACGGAATCGTTACAATGAGATTTTTGATACTGTTTTTTACTTTTTTCAAAGATTGATTTACGAAAAACTTAAATAACTAAACCCAAACTCTTCCGATGTAGACTTGTGAGGTATTATTGGAAATATATTTTCCCACCCTTTTTATTTCTTTGCTAATAAACTCATTCAAAGGATGAAAGAGAAAGATAAAATGAAAGAACCTCAATCAAAGTTGACTTAAGATGTGTTGGTATTTGAAAAAAAAAACTGGGACGGGAATGAGTTTTTTGCACATAAATAAAAGTAGTTATTTAAGTTTTTCGTAAATCAATCTTTGAAAAAAGTAAAAAAACAGCAAAAAATCTCATTATTAGGATTCCGTTGAAAAGGTTTTTAAATATTTTTATGCAGATTTTTTAAGCTTAATCTCTGCTTTGTCTTCTGAGGGAACTTTTTACAAAAAGTTATTTAAGAAACTATTTTTATTCATAAAAAACTCCATTTTCGGAGGTATTTTCAAATTGGTCCAGTTCGCTTAAATCTTAATATTTTTCCGAAATATTTTGGTGGGACGTCTTAAAATACAATAAATTTTGTAGTCAAGGCGGAAAAACCGCCACTATTTTTGGTGATGCAGTCTAATGTGGATGTGTACATATGTATGTATATACACACACATATATTTATAAATTTATTTGTAAAGCCGTGCACACAACTCAATTAAATAAGATCTGCCTACTTTACCGCAAACACTCCGGCAAGCTATCCTTTTAATAACCCAATTGGCCACCTCACGACTATAAAATTAACTTGAACGCCCAACTTTTTACAACCCCTTGCCAAATCTATATTACACTTCAGTCACACACAAGCGGCTGCTCTTGCATAAAAAGTTTAATTACTCCTTTTTAACTCACCTTTATCCATCCTGAAGATGTCTAAAAGTCCCCTACACCATTAATCTCCCACACACTCTGCCAATACACCGCCCGCTGTTGGTGACCACTAGCCAACCATTCTATCCTCCTCTGGACGGCTCTAAGCTGTCCTGTACTGTTGTGATGTCGTTGCACTAATTATTTTTATCTGCTTTATCTTTCGTCACCGATCTGTAGTGATGAAATAATCACGAAAGCCAAGTACTTGGAAGAGGAGGCGGCTAAGCGACGCGCAAACAAGGACATCACCAACCACAACAATAACAACAATAACGACAATGACAATGATGATGAGGATGCAAAGAATTTTAGCTCCGATGAGGATTCCCGTGAGGACGATGTCTTTTATGAGAACAACAACACAGCCGGCGATAAGGACGACGACGAGGATGAAGAGTGAGTCCTATACACATGTATATGTACATCATATATGTATGTAATAGAAAGCATAGACGAATGAAATTAGTGGAAATTATCTATAAATGACTGGGTTGGCCGCCATAGGATTAAAAATAAGATTTTTCACATTTCATTAATTAACGTCAATTTTGAATGGTTGAATGGCTTAATCTTCGTTTGAGCTGGCCGCCTTAATGCACACTACAGCTGTGCGCTGAGAAAGTCAGAGAAGTGAAATGTGTGTGAATTGATGGCACGTGTCGGTCGCACATTTTTAGGTGGTTGGAGGCGACTCCCGCATTGTTCGTTAGTGTGAATGAGTTTATATGAGCATCATCGGCAGCAGTAAATACTAAATGTGTTTGAAAGTCTGGAAGGGTAAGTGATTTTGGTTTCGATAGCACACATGTACATATGTATGTATACATATATGTGCAAATGCATATGTGTGTGAGTGTATTAAAGAACGCTTGTAGCCTATTTTCAAGTGGAAATTAATGGTTTGCCTGCTTTTCAACTTTTTTGTTGTATGATCTCATGGCTGCGGTGGATGGCCTTAATAACAGCTTGACTCTGTGTGGTCTGCTATTCAGTTATTCTGTGAAAAAGGTTAAGAGACTTTAAAAACAGGTCACCTATGAAATAATGTTGTTAAGTTGCAAAAGATAGCTGTTTTATATACATATACACAAAAGTACAAATGAGATTAAGCGCCGCTATTGATTTTTGTGTGGCTTTTGGTTTGAACTTCTGCTTAATGAAAATAAACTACGGGTAGGTAATACATATCGCACATCCTCTTCTAAAGTGACACAACTCAAAAATCACATCTGAAAATCTAACTGCTTTTGTATAGTACAAATTCAGCGCAGTTAATATGAAAACATGTAAATCAGTAGTTTTCTAGTTAGAGAATATATTGGTGCATTAATTGGAAATAAAGCCTACGAATTGATTTAAGCAAAATAATCGATTAATTTGTTTAATGGATCCTCTCAAAATAAACCCGTTTTAAATATGTATTTGGATTGAGGAGTTATTTCCAATCCAATTTTTTGGACTTACTTAAAAAAAATTTAAGAAACTTTAGTTGAAATTTCTACGGTCTTTAATTAGATTTCTTAAAAAGTTTCTGGAGTATCCACTTTTGTAGCTCATTCAATTTTAGTATAATAAAGTGCTAAGACTTACCGTTGAACATACAGGACGATTTTTGTATATATAGAAAATGGGCGTATCCTTCAATAACAAAAAAATTAAATTAAATTACCAAAAATCAACCGTAGGTCATAGCTACTGAGTAAAAATTTGTGAAGTGGGCCACCATTTTTGCGAGGGTCGAGCTTTTTTTGTGCAATTATGTGTATATGCTTCACAACGATAAAAGAAAAATACAAGTTTCACAATTTTGCGAGATTCGAATTATTTCGGAAGTTATAGCTATTAAAATTTTTCGAATTTGTTTAGATTTTAATTGTTTTCTCGCGATAGGTATTAAACATATTTTAAATAGTTGAGAATGATGGTGTTTTCTTACCATTTTTTATTTTTTTTTTGGCCATAATTATTTTTTTTAAGTTATTAATTTTCTTTTTAATATTACTGACATTTCAATGGCTTTAAAATCACGCTTTGGGTTAATATTAATAAAAAAGAAAAAATTTGCTGCATTGCATCGAGACGAAAGTTATTCACGCTTTTCCCTTGTCGCCCATTTTTTTTTGTTTGTATATTTTGTATGTACCTTTGAGTTGATTGTCATTTCTGCTGCTATCCTCATAGCGAAAACCTCCGCTTGAAATGTGCTGCGCTGTTCAGGTAACCTTTCTGGCGTTCAGTTTCCGGCAGTATACTCCGGCACCACCTCCCGTTACCAATACAGAGCCATCCGTGAAAATGTTTAGGGATATACAGCTAGGTTTCATTCCTTGTCCCATGCCTCCTCTACAATCGTTTTGCGAAACCTTCGTTCCCAATTAATTCCTGCATAGGTGGAATTATGTATTCAGTGGCTAACAAAATTAGGACGTCGAACAAAACTCGATTAGCAGTGAAAACATTTCAGATTATTCTTTATAACAAAGCCGGAATTACTTCGCCAAATCATGATACAAACAAGAAGGTAGTTTCAATAAACAACTTTTTGATTAAAAATCAGATTTTTGACAATTGCTCATATATTTGGGATTATGTATGAAATAGTTGTATTAACATTTACCTTTTAAATTAAAATCTTATCTTAAAAATTTTTAAATTTTACATTAAATACATATGATAACCACTTCGCAAAGACTATTTTTAGATTAGTAAAATTTTAGTGAACATATCGCACACCTAAATCTAAAGTGCGATCAACTCAAAATAAAAAGAAAAAAATGTTGGGCGATTTTTTTGCATAAATCAATTCATAGGACTTACATCCAATGGAAATATTTTTTCATCATGATTAATACATTAACTAGAAAACTACCGTTATACACGAATAAAGGCGCGCTAGTGGTTTGTTGGCGAAAAAAAGACACATAAAAAAATATTTTACAGAAAACGCCGCTTAAGAAAAACTAGATTTATACCTGGCGAAGGACTGTCATTCAACATCATTCCCAAAACCTCTTTGGGGAATTTACATACTGTTCCACTCGCAAACATAGTTAACCGCGCCGTCAAATATTTTTTTAGCGCGTCTTCCTTCGTTGTCAATGTCATTTGATTATTTCACAACTTAGCTAGTCAGAGGGTCACATTCTGCGTTATTGTGAAGTGATAAAAATAACACTTTCACATCGCAATAAGTGCCTTTTCTTTAACCTTTCATTTCATTTCACGATAGCGCAGAACGGGAATTGAACCTCAGGACTATTACAGTTTTCTATAACGAAGATGCTGGTTTGTTATATACACATTTCGGTGTGAATTTAATATACATATATTTAGGTGCTTCACTATATGTCGTAAGTGTCGTATGTCGTAAAGTTTCGAACGGCTAAACAAATGTTTGGAAGACTTGAAACCACAACGAACTATTTTTTAACGGAATGAAATTTCAATATTACAATTCAATATTGGAGGGGGTGCGAAAGAGAAAAAACCGAACTTTAAGTCTAGTCACACTTCTCCTCTCTGACCCCCCGGGGGACCCATTTGAAAATTTCTTGGTAATTAAAAAAAAAATAGCATTTTGCTCGAAAATGTTACCTCGGGTTACGCCAGCCACAGGATTTTATCACAGAATACCTTTCCGCGTTGGAAAAATAACCCTAATCTGTTCAGCTCCGGCTACCATAGTATTTATTTTTACAAAAGAGTGCATGTTTCACACCGAATTTATTGATAAATTAGTTTTCGAAAATTTGAAATCTTTATTTTAAACTAAATTTTAAACCTTGGATTACAGGTGTATGTTAATAACTGAACCATACCCAACAAAAGACTGTTTCTTTGTTCAAATTTCGATTATAAGAAAAAAATGTTTTAAATAAACAAAAAATGAATAATAAAATTTTAAGGATTTTAGATATTGGATATGTTAGCACGAGAGTGTCACAAACTGCTTAATTGCCAGGTTGTTAATATGGCGACGAATAAGTCGCAATGGAACTAACTTATTTTTTGTATCATGCGCCAAATTGCTTAAAGGCCCAAAACAAAACAACGGCAAATAGAGATATTGAAATGAAAGGCGAAGTCGATTCAAAAGATGATCAGTTTGTTCTTTTTTTTGTTGATTTTCATTGAATAAAATTGATACTAAGAAACTACTGTTTTTTCAAATCTGTGTACGGGTGTTTCCTTTTTTGAATTTTTTTACTGCTGTTGTCCGAAAACACGATAGCTAGTAGGATTTGGTATACCTAAATAACTAGCTTATGTAGAATATCTCTGACATTTCAGATCCTCAGTTATAATAAAATATCCTAAATGCTCAATATTACTTCTACAGTTGCACCAAAGAAACTTGCTTTGACCTTGAAGGCACTTGACACGGTCAATACGAAAAAGGCACCAAACAAATGCCAACAACCCTAATACTACAATTCTAAAATATTTTATAGCTTTCACCGCTGCACCGGAATAGTGTTTTTCATTTCAGGAATGGAATGTAAGCAAGCATGTACGCTTTGTTGATTTTATTTTCATTTCACCAAAAACGCGTGCATCGGTTCACTTATTGTTTTGCAATATATACAGACGTATCCTTACGCTAGCGTGTGTAAATGTACGTACATATGTATGTACATATGTTTGTGCTTCCTTCGACATGCTCTCGAACCTTATCGTCTGACCTAAACCCAAATTGCGTCCAAACACGCGATTACACTGTTGACCTCCTGTTCTTTATTTTTTGTAGAGATCCCATGAGCCGTGGCTGAACATAGCAATAACAACAAAAACACAAAAGCAAAATGTTAAAAAAAAACTTATGCACGTTAAATTCGATCGGAAAATATGCACAAAAATTTTATGTTTTTTTTTTCATTTTCTACTCCACAGTTTTTCTTATTGCCATTTAAGCAATTTTATGGAGTAGAATTGTTTTAAGAGAGCGCTTTACGAAAAATTTATAGCTCATCACCACAGCAAGTTAATATGAATTTTGTTTTTTGTTTTTGTTGTTGTTTGCCTTACTACTTCTTTAACTGTATATTCCAATTGTGTTTTAGCAGTGAGTCCATCCTTCTCTGTATAGCCAAGTCGACAGTAAAGTGTGTTAAGGACACGCCGCAACGCTTGCACACTTAATTCTGCGAACGGAAGCCGAACGATTTTGAACTAACCAAATTATCCTTGAAATGAGTTTATGCATTGTTTCTGTTTTTTACATCATAGCAACACTGGTATAAAATGAATGTGAAAAAGTTTTATTTTCGCTATAATCGAGTAAGTGGTGCTCAAGCCTCGGTCGTGTGGTAATACATACATACACATACGCATGTATGTATGTACATATATGTTCACTTATAACCATATGTATGTACACACACACATAGGTACATATC